TTTTTTTATAACGAGAAAACGTCAGTAATCGCAATAATTCAAAAACTCAACTTTTTAACACATAACAGGCCATAACTCATGAACCACTTTAGATATTAAAACTTTTTTTTATTTTTAAGATCGGATATTTTACAATATGTTTACATAAGAAAAATTTGATAAGGTTGTATTTTCCATTAAAAAATTGTAAACAATCCATCCATTTACTTTTAGAGCATAGCAATTTTCAGCAATCGTGTAATTTTTTTATTGATAAAGATTTTCAGACAGTATGATACAAAGAAAATACAGCAGAAATATTAACAAAGTTCTTGAAAAAACTACAATCTATTATTTCTAATAGATTTCCAGATATCGATTTTTGAAATCAGAGTTCTAATAGCGCGACCATTATCGAACACCCACTCAATTCCACTTATTTTTACCAAAAATGCAAGTGTTTCTAGCTTGCACTTAAAAAAAAATCAAGCTATAGGGAAAATTACAACGACTCGTTAATATAAATAAACAAATTAAGTACCACGAGACGTAATTAAATCGTGAAGCTGAACGCATGACGTACACCTTTCCCTAGAACTTTAGGTACTGACAGAGGTATTGATTGGGTCGACCGGTTAACTGCTACAAATCTGTTATATCCCCTTCCACGTCTCTTAGCGATGTGCACAGTTTCTCGGTTTATTTCATACGTTTGGCAACGTGTTTACTGTCCTCTCTATGTTCAGTACATTATAAACGCATTGTACTTTTCTTACATACGGAAATCTCGACCCAAGACTAACCTTTGCCAGCCCCCCTTAGTATAATTTATATGGTTTTGTAACAAATTGCTCGCTATTTTATGGCAAATGCTGAAGCTCAGCAAACCTTAATCAAGCCTTAATCAAAGCACGGGATTTGTGAATAAAATTTAAGAGAAATAACTAACAAATAATAAAAACCACATTATACGAGATGTACTGTGATAAAAGCAGTTAAAAAGAAAATATGAGTGACAGTGATAGTGACAATCCAGCTGAAACTTATGAAGCCGCCAATGCAGCTACTCTAAATTTATTACCTGAAAAATGCAGGCAAATTTACTTAAAACAGTATAAATAAATTTGAATCTTATCTTCCAGTTGTGTGCATCTCGGCCGTATGATCTTTTTTGTCAAACCAGCTTTACGGCCTTGGTACACAAATAACTATTATATTCTTCCAAAAACTACCAAATCTAAATTCCTGTAATTACAACAGTAGTAACTACAATAATTCGAAATGTATTTGGAATGTTTCTTAATATTTATGTTAGAACAATATTGTCAGCAATCAAATTAGACTGAATTTCGGGTCTTCGTGGATCCTCGGTTTTCTGTTCAAAGCTGTCTTTAATTAATAATTCCCCGAATATATTTAAACTGCTCCTCTGTTTCGGAGTAAAATAACACAGATATTTGGAATTAATTTTCGAGATGTAATTAGTATTGTATTTTCCCATCGAATTTATAATTTATTTTAGTGTAGTACGAAGGAAAATATAAATTTTAAATAATGATCAATATTTCCACCATTTAGGTGTACAGTATGTCCCGGATTGTCTTTACAAAAGGAGTAACTTTTTTATTATTGACATTCTAGAAAAAATGCTTCTTCATAAGAATTTTTACTTGTTCTAAAATGGCTAATCTTGTTTATACGTTTCCAAATTTCCATACCGTTTTAGAGAGAATTAAAAAAAAATATAAAAATATGGTTGAATTTGGAACACTGGATGAAGCAATATGGGAAAGAAATATGCAAGGCCGAAAAGCAGTTTCGATGCTAAATGGAATACTATGGGGTAAGAATATAACGATAGAAAACAAAAAAAGAATTTAAAATTCTATCGTAAAAAGCATAATTACCTACAGCTTTGAAGTAGGTCTTTAAAATAGGAAGCTGAAAGAACGCTAAAAGCCACGGGGATGGACTTTTGACGAAGATCGGCTGAAAATCCAGAAAAGATAAAATACCAAATGAAACCATAAGTCGTCAAATAGAACTCAAACATGACATCGTAGATGACATTAGACGTTCGCATCGAAAATGTAGTTTCTATATTGTATAAAGTTCATAAACTGTCTCCATTCATACTGGTGATTAATTATAGTGTTTTTCGGCTTACTTTCGGCAACTTTTTCTTCAATTGCACTTAAAGAATAATTGTTTCCAAACCGAGACATTTTTAGAAAATAATTTACGTCTAAGTGACAAATGTGTCACCATAGATAAATGCAACAAGTTTACATTGGAAAGCCCGTAAAAATTTTAGGTCGCGAAATTATTTTGGGTTGCGACCGTTATACGCGATCTGGCGCTGCTATAGCGGTCGCTAAGAACAACGGCAAACAAAAACAGAAATAATTTTCTCTTGTCAATGTCAGAATCTTCAAAAATCATAATAATCTTTCAAAATCTAAACCGCTCTCATTAAAGAAATTCCGAAAAGTGTTTATAGCGTCCATTTTCAAAGTAATTATTGCTATCTTCTGAGTTTAATTCAAGTTTTATTTACTCCAACTGGTGATAATTGTGAAAAAGTGGCATTAAAAACTTAAAAAGCTGTGCAGTAAACCGTGAACTGCAAAAACCATCGTATCGTGGATCGTGGCATAACGTCGGTGTCCAATGTTTCATAGGTATTTCATACATGCGTCCTTATATAAAATAAAGTTTCTTGTATGCAACACACTGTATTTTATTTATAAAATTAAACGAAAATAATAATAAATTTTTTCCGGAAAAAGCCGAACCGCTCCGAAATTTTCAAATGTTTTGGGTCGCGACCGTTGCAAGAATAACGCCAAATAGTGTTTATATTGTCCTTATGGGCACTTTCCAATCTAAACTTCTTTCATTTATCTATGATTAGGACTCAGCAATTAATAAGGTAGGGGCATGCGCAAAGAATGGATGGACATTCACAGGCATTCACATCGAATCCTAAAGAAAATATTAAAAAAACACTCAAGATAGAAGAAAAAAGAGGAAGACCACGCAAGAGTTGGAGAGAGGGTATCTATTGATAAAGAAGTTTTGTACCGGGTGTCCCACTAAGAATAGCTCTCGGCTGTATCTCGGAAAGTATTAGCCGTAGGGGCTGCGGAAAAAAATATTTATAACTAAAGAGGCAATGACAAATTGCTAGATATTATTTTCAAGTTTGTAGAACGACCGCTAGGGGGCGCAACTGCAACAAAAAATAAGAAAATGGAGTTTTTACACAATTTTGCCTAGATAAGGTGTACTATAAGTAACAGCTTCATAATCTCCATTAAATTTCGAATATTTTTTGTTAGAGCCATTATCCTCTATCTACCAAAATAAAGTGGTGGGGGAAGGTTAGATCTGTTTTTATTTAAATATTAATAACTCTGGACTGGATGATCGCAATCCAACAAGCGAGAGCTCGTTTAAAAGAGCATTTCTTACTCTGTATTATACCGTATAAACAATAATAATAAGCTTTTGGACATAGACGCTAGGGGGCGTTGTATTACAATTTAACAAACATTGCGCGTTTTTTCAAAAAGTCAGCGAAAACCGCATCTTGATATCTTCTTTCAAACCTTTTTTTTGTATTTTGTATTTGACTAAGAGTGGGTCCCATAGGGGACCCTCCACTGAGGCCGCGAGGGCCTATTGTGGCTCAGTTTCTACAAGCTCTAATTTACAAGAGCGTCAAAGTTCATCCTCAAGACCCAGCCTCTTAATATAGGCCGTTATGTCTGAGGGCGATATGTCTTCTAGGTCTGATAGGTCTAGCATGGGTTTGCCAAACATCTCAAACCTGGTCCTGCTCCCAGCGGGGCAGGTACACATAACGTGCTTCATTGTTTCATCATCTTCCATACAGAGTCGGCATTCGGCGTCTTCCACCAGTCCCGTCCTCTGTAGGTGAGATCTCAGCCGGCAGTGGCCCGTGTACACTGCAGTGAGCACACGCGTTCCATTCCTACCGGCCTTTAGGAGTTCTCCTGTTCTATGTTTGGATGGCCCTGCTAGGATTTTCTTGGCATGCTCCATTCCGGGACTGTCATTCCAGTCTCGGAATGTCTCACCCCTAACCCATTCACAGAGCCTGTCTCTTGCGAGATTTTTGGGAACGCTAAGTGTCGGTTCTGGGCCCACGAATGGCGAGCCTGCACCAATTTTGGCGAGGGAATCAGCACGTTCATTTCCCCTCTAGGCCGACATGTCCCGGTATCCATATTAGCGACACTTTGTTCCTATCTCCCAGTATATTGAGTAGTTTCTTACAATGAAGAATCGTCATAGACGTGCTTTTCGTTGCCTCAAGTGCTTTCAGCGCAGCTTGACTATCCGAAAATATGCATATTGTTTTCCCGGTGTATTGCTGTTCTACCAGCAGTTGCACACAGGTTTCAATAGCATATAGCTCAGCTTGGAAGATCGTGGTGTGTTTTCCAAGACTGTGGTAGATCTCAGTCTTTGGACTGCTGCAGTAAATTCCTGCGCCAGATCCTTTTTCGTTTTTTCTTTCAAACCTTCTTTCAATGTTATATTCTTTTTGGTATTTTCCCATTAATAGCTTGGCTGTTCCATTCCAAATAGTATGTACCGTAAAATCCCTATAGTCTTGCCCGTTTTTCCTTTTCATATTAAATGCCCAATCGGTCAAAATATTGGCCAGTGCCGAGATTGAGATGTTCGCATCCAAAATGTAGTTTCTATATTGTATAAAGTTCATAAACTGTCTCCATACATACTGGTGATTAATTATAGTGTTTTTCGGCTTACTTTCGGCAACTTTTTCTTCAATTGCACTTAAAGAATAATTGTTTCCAAACCGAGACATTTTTAGAAAATAATTTACGTCTAAGTGACAAATGTGTCATTGTCACTTAGACGTTCTGCGGGAAATTTTCGCCGGGTAATTTTTTTGTACATGATTGAAATATTTGAGATAAAACACCTACAGAAGTCTACTAAGAATTATTTTACTGTTTGAACCTTACCTGCACCAATAATACTGTCCAATCCGGCCTCGCAAACACCCATCACCACCACAAGCATCACCAACCATAAATTCCTGCGAGCATAACCGTCACCACCAAGTTCCCGCTTGGGCGACGCGATACGCGGCGCGTCCGGTGCCGCTTTTGGCGTCAGTTTCACCGTCATCGAGACGCCTGTCGCATGTCGACTGGCGTCGGCGACGAAAGGCCAGCGTCGCGACGCCGTGACGGCGCCTGCGCGGCCAGGGGATGTTTCGCGCTGACCTACCGCACGCCGAGTTTCGGACGGTTGTTGCTGTTCCTGCCGGTGGCCGTGTTCGCGGGCGAAGAGTTGAGAGATAAGAGATTAGATTAAGGATGGGGATGAGACAAAGGTTAAAGAGCTGAGGAGAGAAGAAAGGTTGCAGTGAGGGATTCTTGGATGCAGGGTAGTTATTTCTCTTTAAATAATAAGAGGCCGAACTATGCCGGAAGCTGTGCGACCTGTAATGAGTAAAGTTTTTATTTACTTGAAATCACTTACATAAAAAAACAATAAAACATCCAGTATACCAGATGTGTCTCAAAAGTTTTCTATTTTTTCAGATAAAAAAACGAGATTTGGTATGTATATGACATAAATTAGGATTGACTGATATATTCAATTGTTTTTGGTCACTTCCTGTTTCACGGGAAATGACGAAAGTTTTGATTTTTAAATGGCACCCTCGGTACTTTTTTACTTTAATCGATAGAAAATGACGTTGTGAATAGAATGACATATCATATGTAAACTTTTGACATTCCCGTTTAATAAAAATTTGTATTTTAAATTTCAATCTTGAGTGTGTTAAAAATACTAATTTCTAACACTGTTGTGTTAAGACGCTGTGTTAAAAATACTCATTTTTAATCAAGGAGTCTTGGAAAAATAGATTTGATCGTCTAATCCCAAGTAACAAAATTCCGACTTCCGACTAGTTTTGACTACGCGTAACGTTGAAATTGGTACTTTTCCCTACACTATGCATACCCAAACCTCAAATTACGTAGCCAAAATATCGCTACGACGTTGCCCTTAAACAGTTGTATATTTTGACCCTTAACAACGTTGGTAAACGTTGTAGGGCGCAACGTTGTGAGAAGTTGGGTTTTATACCGTTGTCATTACGTCGCCAGAAGGCATGTTTATTGTACTACAGAATAACAAACGTAATACAACGTTGTGCAACGTACTTTTAAATTACGAGTGTAGGTACATGCTAACTACAACGTAATACAACGTTTCATTAAACGACCCAAAGCAACTTCAAAATTATAACCAATTACTACGTTGGATTACGGCGACGAGCGCGACGATATCGATTTTTGTTCTGGAAGCGGAACTATCTACACCCAACCTCAAAAAATTCTGAACTGTACGGTCACAGAGCAATTGGTTAGGTATTTTTTCTGTTCTACTTAGTGTGTAAAAAAGGAAAAAGTATTTAGAAGAAAGTCAGCGAGCAAGTCAGTGTCCGAAAAATGAAGTGGAAATAACGAGTTTGAGTTCGTCATCCACATCCTCGCAATCATGTATCGAAGGAACGTCCACTTCAATTTTGAAAAATAATAATGCTACTAGTGGTAGCTTATCATCAATGGATACTAGAGAAATAAATAACAGTACACCTGAAGCCCATACAACAAAGGAATACAATGAGAATAATGATCCTCCAGAAGAGCAGTCAACTGAAGTTCAGTTTCACCATAAATTGAAGAGAATATAAGATTTTAATTTTCAAATGAGTGGTAAAAGCAACAATTGTTCCTGTACGGCTTTTTTTTATAAATAGAAATACTGATCTAAGGTCAGCGATATTATTAACAGTAAACACAATTATCAAATATCTCTATATACTCTATTTCAAGTATGCCTTAGGCAACCAATCATTTTTTTAATTATTTATTAGGTGTAAGATATTTTACGTCATTCTAGATACAGCTATACGAAATATGTCGATTGATGAGCAACCAAACCATCTACTAATGTCCTTTAGCCAGGAATCCTGGCGTCTGCCGATAGATCTTTTGCCCTGGACTTTGCCTTCAATTATTAATCTGAGAAGTTCATACTTTTTACCCCTCATTATGTGGCCTATGTAGCGTGTTTTTCTTTCTTTGATGGTAAGCATGAGTTGTTTCTGTTTTCTCATTCGATTAAGAACCTCCACATTTGAAACTCTTTGGACCCATGATATTCTTAATATACGGCGGTAAATATACATTTCGAAGGCATCTAGTTTTTTTCTAACGATATGTCAAGAGTCCAACTCTCACACCCGTACAGGAGAACTGAAAAAATGTAGCATCTGACCATACGTACCCGTAGCTCCAAACTCAAATCTGACCTTGTGAAAAATTGTCTAATATTTATAAATGTTTTTCTAGCCTGTTAATTAAATTTGAACTAATTTCTTTCTTCGGGTCGCATTGATCATTTACAATACACCCCAAATACTTGTATGAAGACACTTGCTCTACTGGGTCACCGTTGATATCCAGGTGAATCTGCACAGGTGTTTTGGTGAATGCAAGAACCTTCGTTTTTGTGGTATTTATGAGGAGACCGCAGTTTTCACTATGCCGAACTAATTCATTCATTAGCCTCTGCAAATCTTGTTCATTCTCGGCCAGCACAACTGTATCGTCGGCATACGTGATATTATTGATCACTTTCCCGTTAATCTTAATTCCACATTCGATTCCTTCTAGAGCTTCTTTGAAGATAGCCTCTGAATATATATTAAATAAGAGCGGTGACAGCACACAGCCCTGTCTTACACCTCGTTTAATCGTGATTTCTTCTGACGATGTTCCTTCAATTTTAACCACATTACTCTCTACTGGCAGCAAAACGCATATTTGTTAAATCTTGTAAAGTAACAATTTTACCAGTACTTTCTTGAACTTTTTGCTGTATCATTTTTCTATTGGCCTTCATATTCAAATAATCCTTGACGCTTTAATGTTACTAGAAAGTTTTCTTTGGCTAGGGTTATGTGCATGTAGAACCTACAAAATATATCTTTTATGAATAAAATACTGTTCAAGCAAGAATTATTAAAAGCATACTATATGTCAACTTACCTGTAAACTTACCTTCGAAGTGACATGATTGTGCTTCATTTGAACCGATGTTACCTCGAGTGCTTTTCCATCAGACGATGCTTTGAATCTTACATGTACTGGGCAATCTTCTTTAAATGTCCAAGACTGTCGAATTTTTTTCCCACTGCCCTTAAACTTCTTTCCACCGGGATTACATGCATATAGAAGTTGATAATAAATCGAAGAGCTTTCTATTGGTCTCACAATTTTACTGCTTGCAATCGTACGGGCATCTCGTTTCCAAAATGTTGTGTACGTATTTTCACCAAGTTCCTCAATCGCTTTCTTTGCGTCAGCCAATGAGCTGAACCCCAATTTTCAGCATGCTAATTTCAGTCATGAAAAATAATTAGGTACCTAACTAACCTAAAAATGTTTATAGATAAATTGACAATCAGAAAACTAACTGAAACACTTACTCCATCCTGAACCGATAATATCCAGATGTACACCTTAATTAAAATCAACTTATAGCACTTAGCACAAATTCTTACTACAATAATAGTGTAAACGCGACGAAAAAAACATACCAAAAGGGCAACGGAAAACGGAACACAAATTGATTAACGGCGTTTTAGTACGCGACCGTTCGACGGCATTTTAACCAAAGCATTAAAAAGCTGTCAAATGCGTCACATCAACGACGTCATATCTATTAACGGCATTTCAGTAGGCTACCGTTTAACGGCAGTTTAAGTACAGCGTTTTAATAAATTTGTGGGAAATCGAAAAAGAGCTTCTCGGTTCTTGCGGCAAACCCATAGCAAGGCAGCTCCAACTAACATCGCCATCGAAACTGTTATATTGAGAGAATTGTTGCAGGAAATGATCGGCCAATTTTTTTAAAGGATAATTCATTAAAAATCTCATTTTCGAAAAAAAGTGGAGCTGCCTGGTTATTGCAGCCACCCCTTCAATTGCTGTAATGATTTTGCAACTTGAACGCAGTCATTAACGTATTAAAGTCCCTGTAAGAATGTGTATTACTGTCTACCATAGAAATCAATAATAGTCCAGTCATCTTAGGGGTTCCACCTCGGAATTCGAGATAACCGGCTGTAAACTCATATAAGCCTTTATTTTAACATAAAACATGTCTCAAAACCTACATATGATAGCGTGTGCGCGACTTGTAGATAACTGAGGTCAAAGGTCAAAAAATCGTTTTTTTGCGCATTTTTTGCAAATATCTCGTTCCCTTTCACATTTACGCTATTTGTATTTATTATAAATATTGTAGAGGATAAAATTCTCTACAACTTTTGTTACAAAAGTTTGTTTGTACCTCAAACAGTTTCTGAGATAGAGAGCGGTGAGCGCGCTGTATTTCATTATGTACGGTATCATTCAAGTTCAACCTGTAGTCTCGGTCAAAAACACGCCGTATAAAGTCCGTTAATTATTGAAAAATATATAAAAATTATAAATAATTTACATTTTTTCATAAAAGAATATATATATCGAATATAATAATTTTTTTCATAAATTAAGTATATCTTCATTTAATAACACTTACCTCTTTGTACAATAATTAGGAAATGATTAACAAAAATACTTTAATTACACTTTTAATTATAGCATCGATCATCTTTGTTATACACAATTCATCAAATCAACCAAACTGAATAAACCTGTGCAATTATCAAATCTTCCACCAACAAGTGCAGCAGCTCACTAACATTTCAATCGTGTTTACTACCAAGTTCAGACTTGGTTAGGGCATGATTTAGAACCCCAGGACTGGGATTGGATAATGCGTAATGGATTCCTGGAACCTACCACTACTATTCAACCTCCAGCTCCAGAAAATTTGCTGAACACAATATCCTGCAACTGCAAGAATGGTTGTGGTTCGCGATGTGGAAGCAGGAAGTCAGTGTTGCCGTGCTCTTTTGCTTGTGGCCAGTGTAATGGGCAAGCTTGTCTCAATCATTCACCCTATCAGAGTGATGTCAATGAAGATGGTACATTTGATCCCGAAATCCTGGAAGACTTTAAGACAAATGTGGTTGAAGATGACAATGGAAAAGAATTTGAAATTGGAAAATTTGATGATGAAGAAGAAGTAGAAAACTAAAAATAAGAACATGGGGGAGTTCTTTTTATTTTTATTCAATTTTTTTAATTTCAACCATGAGAAATGTATGAAATGGTGTTTTTTAATAGACATATAAATTAAAAATGTATTTCTTGTCTTTTTATTTACTTAAAATGTAATTAGTATAAATCTAACTATAATTAAAATGTAATAAGTAAGATATACTTAATTTATGAAAAAAAATATTATATTCAATATGATCTTTTATAAAAAAATGTAAATTATTTATAATTATTATATATTTTTCAATAATTAACGGACTTTTTACGGCGTGATTTTGACCGAGACTACAGGTTGAACTTGAATGATACCGTACATAATGAAAGACTGCGCGCTCACCGCTCTCTATCTCAAAAACGGTTTGAGGTACAAAAAATTGTTGAAACAATAGTTGTAGAGAATTTTATCCTCTACAATATTTGTAATAATTACAAATACCGTAAATGTGAAAGGGAACGATATATTTGCAAAAAATGCGCAAAAAATGTATTTTTTGACTTTTGACCTCAATTATCTACAAGTCGCGCACACGCTATCATATGTAGGTTTTGAGACATGTTTTGGGATGCTAAAATAAAGGTTTATACGAGTTTACAGCCCGTTGTCTTGAATTCCAAGATTCCTACTCTATTTCGACTAAGATGACTGGACTATAACACTTTTTGAGCATAAAGCCAAAATGAGGCTAAAAAATTATAATGAATTTTAAAACTCATCTCGTATATTACCAATAAACTTTCGAATAGTTTTGCACCAAAAAAATATAGTCTGTTATTAATATTGACACAATTGCTAGGTAATGAACGTTCGAGTCTACATAAGATTAAAACGACCGGTAAAGTCAACAGTTCCACAAAATGATTTTCGAAATTGGATCGGAGCTACTCTATTCCTGTAATGCCTTTTCAAAAAAATTGCTAATTCTATGAATCGAAGTTAATAATTGAACTTTATCCGACGGGATAGGGCCGAAAGAGGTGGATAGGAAAAAACGGAAAAATTTAATATTTTACTATCAAATAATCGGGTAAAAAGGTATTCGCGTTTTAGTGAGTCGCAGTTCCAGTTGATTTAGTTATTTCTATTTTTAATGGTGAGTTTAACTCTTTTCTAAAATGTTTTTTTCTATCAATTAGGTATATCAAATCTTTGTTGGACAAAGAAATATTTTAAACTTTCCATTGTTTCTATTACTGAACATTTTCATACAGACAAATCTATTTTCAAAAAAATATTCTTTCTCGAATTCTAAACTACACCTTTTAAAAATAATAAGTCATAGCCTGTGATGTATAAAAAATTATATCACCCCATTTTCTTTCGCATCATTTTCTAATATCTTTGATGATAGTCTTAGCCCACTCTTGGTATTCATCCCATCTTGTTTACCACTGTGCGTAAGTCATCTGCTTAGCCTCCGCAGCATAATTTTTGCCTTTGATTAAGAGTCCCGTTCTTTCGTCAGCAGGTCTATTGGAGCGATCCCTGCAAGAACTGTAATTGCTTCTCTTGAAGCTGTTCTGTAGGCCGATAGATACTTATTGCCATTCTACGGTTAAAACGTTCTAATAAATCCAAATAGGATTTAAACTTCAACTCAAATTTCCAAGCTGGTGCCGCGTACAGCATTAAAGAGAGTACAGCTGTTGTCTGTACTCTTCACTTTGTTGCTCTTGGACCTCCGATATTTGGCTGAGTCTACTTAACTTATTAATAGCCGTGTTTGCCTTTTCACAGATTCTTTTAATATGCGTTTGTAGGTCTTTGTCTAAATACATTTCCATATAATGCTCGTCAGTCTTTATCTGTATTGTAGGTACCTTTCTTCTACCAGATAGTAGTAACAATTCGGTTTTTTTTGTCGCCACTTGCATCTCCATTTTGGCCAGTGTCCACATTATTAATTTCATAACATGCTGAGTTTTGTTCCAGCTCTGTTTTAGATTTTGCCTTAGTTACAATCGCTAGTTAATAATAATAATAAATAGTTTATTGTTCAACAAAATATAAATACAATACATATTTGTGCTGCAAAAAAAATGTTGTTAAACAAAAGGCCTTTAAGTGCAGACATCTCAATCAGTAGTTGAGAGTATGTTGAAACCTACAATATAACTAAAAAAAAATACTAAAAAACTACAACAATACATACTAAAAAATTTACATTAAAACAAAATTGGCATCATGAATGACATTCAGCTTCTAACAACATGTTTTAAAAGAAAAAACAAGGAAAGAAAGAAGGGAGTAGTACTGTATGAGCAACTAAAGGGGTATCGTATATATAGCATATCAAAACAAAACAAAATGAACCATTTGAGTATCATGCCCTTCCACGCAACGAATAACAGAGAAGACAAGGTCACCACCTCAGGCAACATCACGACATCACTGCTGGAGCAACAGCCCCAGCTTAATAGACTTCTTAAAGACTGGCACAGACTGTATATTGTGGTAAGACCGCAAGCATTTACAAGTTTTGTTACATTATATCGATAAGACCTTTTGAAGATTTCTTTTCTATGCCTAGGCACTTTAAGAAGCCCTCTCGTGCGTAAATCATAACTGCCCAAACCTTCGTTAAACAGGAGCTTGGAATACAAAAAGTTTGGTAATTTCAACCTTAGAATTTTATCAGCAAAAAGGGTGGTAAGCAATCGGAATCTGTTATACATATTCAACCACTTTGACCTAGTTAGAGATGGGTTTATGTGATCTCTCCGTCTTACACCATAATATATTAATCTTAGGCATGAGTTTTGTACCTTTGAAGCCTGTATCTGTCTGATGAATGATTAAACTGCGATAAAACGAGACTCTCACACAGAATTTTTCTGGTATCAATTGGTAGGTATTGTCTATGGCTATATATAAGTTTTAAATTTCCATAAGCAGACTTGAGTTTTTGTGTTAAATGTTTTTTGAAAGAAAGTCTGGAGTCAATCACTAAACCCAAAACTTTACATATTGAATTTATATTTAATGCTACATTATTCAGTTCATCTGAGTATTCAATTAGGGATATTCCTTTTTCCGTTTCAGTTTCTACTGTTTTATTATAGAAGATATTCCAAAGTACTGATCCCAGAACAGACCCCTGCGGTGGATTTGAGGTCAATTCCTATTTTAAGATCTGACCATGGCCCTCCTCCCTCCAGATGATGACTCGCCAACTCGATGTCTTTACTTTGGAATCCTGAGGCCAACTAGACGCCGTTTTTTTTTCGATCATACGGTACCTATTACATAGTGAAACCAACCATTACAAAGCGACCTCAGGATATTTTGTCTTATATTTTACTCTGTATGGTAAAATTTTATTTTTCTACCCATCCTATAAAAATAAAACAAAATGAAATCTCTGTAACAGGTTGCTTTACTTTTTGACTATACGAGTACACAATTTATCTAGAAATGATTCGAATTCGAAAAAACTTTACCTGGGGAAGTTCTCTGATGATGCATGGTCCCTCTAAATCATCATATTAATCAACAAGTCACTGCCCACTTTTTAGGTATCTACTTAATACATTGTAATCAGTAAGACGAGTAATTAAACATACAATTCACATTAAAAAACGTATATATTAATCAATTAGAGACAAAACAGTGCAATAACCGGCAGAGTTAATTCAAACTGTGATTCAAACTAATACGTGATCTGTGAACTAATACAAATTCCCAAATAATGCAATTCTGCATTTTCAGCCTAAAATCTCTCGGGCTGATCGGGAAGTGATACATATTTTTAACGAACGGCTTTTAAGGTTTAAATTTACATTTGAGGCTCGCGTCAATACGATCTTTTTACGCGCTACTACTCCATACATTTTATCTCTCTTCAACTAAAGGTTTTGCCTATGCTTTTTCTTTTCATTCTATAGATTTAAGATTCCAGTGAACGCTGTCGCTCCGTCAATGCGATATACCACAATACGTGAGACAAGGAAAGGCGAGAGGCAAACCTCTGCACATATACTTCTTTAAGAACAAATGAGATGGATATATATATCGTCGAGTTTGTCGCATATGGGAAAGGAAGCGCATTTAAAGGAATACCATCGACGTAATTTATTGTAGAATGACGAATAAAAAATACAATTATGATTGATGCAAATAGGGAAAAAAAAGTGTCAAGGTTAGTTGCGTTGGTTAAGTTGGTTATTTGGGGTGGATAGCGTTGGTTAGTCCTTATACAATTCCTATATTTCATAAAACTGTCAAGTGCGTCTCATCAACGACGTCATACCTATTAACGTCAAGTTTAAGTAAGCTACCGTTTAACGACAGTTTAAGTACAGCCTTAAATTTAACATTATTATTTTAATTTAAAACACAGAAGAGTATTTTTCATATTGTATAATCAAAAAACTCCTATTACAATTCATACTTTTGCAGTACCTATTTCCAATTGGCATTTTATTACTTCCGCATAACAAATTACACATTACTAGTCATAACCCTCAAAAATTATAACCGCAACTCGCAAAATGTGATCAAATTTTCCTTTATTTTGTCACCGATCGTAAAATTCAGCGGCATTCGTCAAATTTAAAGCCGAACTGCTACGAAATTTTACACAGATATCGGGGAATAAAATTTATTTTTCTGCAAATGACGCATCCCGTGCTTCGCAATGGAGTCCCATACGTTGCCGGACTGCTAGTCGTGATAAATTCGATTACATCGACACTTTGCCTTAATATTGTACCCCATTTTTCGTGACAATATTCTACGTGAAAATTTTCATTTCTTGTTCGATAAATTCCATCGAAATATAAGCCAAGGTTTGAATGTATAGCGTGTTCAAAATTCGAGTCTCATCAATGCGATTTCGGAAACTATCATGTGAAGGTTGTAATTTATTTTTATATTGAGTAAAAATTATTTTAAACGTTGCGGCGTTTTCAATATCAATAAGGGGCCGTCCTCTGTCGGAAACACTGCGACCTGTGAGGCCTATTGTGTTTGTCCCCTTTCTATATCTACATCAGGGTGGATCGTAAATATCAAAATTTTAAAATTTTTAAAACATCGACTTGGAATACCTACGAAAAGTTGCCTTTTGTAATGTTGATAAAAAAGTGTTACTACAACTTTTTAATAAAATCACATCTTCTGCCCTCTACCAGCCTTTAAAAAATGAAAATTTTTTTTTTGAAAAATCGATTTGGAATACCTACCAAAAGTTATCTTTAGTAATGTCGATAAAAAAGTTTATTTAATTTTTTTATAAAATCACGTCTTCTGCCCTCTACCGGCTGTTAGGTTAGGTTAGGTTAGCTAAAACGACAAGTTCTCTAAATCTAAAACTTTTGAGGTATCGAGAAATTAAGTAAAATGATAGTTACAAAAAACGTCTTCAGGAATTTCAAACCGAGAATACTTGCCTGTTTGATCACTTTGGGTAATCGTACCACCGTCTTTATGTTAGTACCGAAAATCCAACATTACAGTTAAAGGAACTGTCCAAATTTATTGTCAAGGTTTATGCTCCTTTATGGTTTCATATTAAATGAAACTCTTCATGTGTAAATGGTGCCAAACATGTTTTACAAACAATAAAACGTAGCCGATACCTAGAGCAAGGTTTAAAACGTGTTATAGACCCTGTAATACAAAGAAATGCCTATTTTGTCTATCCCGAAAATCTTCTGATATATATTCTACCTGCTACATGACACTCGCCCCCATATAAGAGAGCTTGCACTTCGCCGCATTCTAAATGCAAAACTCAAGACAATCAATACGCAATATCCGACCTTTTATCATCCCACAAATTAATTTTGACGCAGATGACTATGTTGATCTAATTGATTGGCAAAAAAATGAAATAACTTGTCCCCCATTGCTCCAAATTCAGCGGTCTTTGACCCGTCTGTATACCAGATTAGTCCATCCTGAAGGAATGTTATATCTGTCCATGGCGTAGTGTTTAAACGGTGTAGTTTAAAATTCGAGAAAAAATATTTTTTTGGAAATAGATTTGAGTGTCTGTTACATAGTTTATCATTGTCGAATCATTGGGGATCAAAAAAGGGGCCTACTTGGAAAAAACTCCGGAAGTTTTGAAACTTTACAGGTTTATAGGTTTTGGGGTCCCTAACTAAAATCCATAAAATGCACATTGGCAGACATGCCGATGGCGCCCAAAATAGGTATTTTGTGAATATCTCGAAAACTATGTGTTTTTCGCGAAAATTTGAGAAGAGCAAAATTAAAGAGAATAAAATTTCCTGTAAAAACGGTTTTATGAAAATTTTCGCTCAAGTCAACCGTCAACAAAATCCACGGAAATTTTACAATTTTGCGTAAAATATGTTATATTATGTATAGTCGATTTTCCGAAATTGAATGTCAATTAGGGTTCACTAAAACTGGTTTTAGTTTAGTTTCTTCAATTTTGTCATGAAACAGTGACTTATCATTAATTCGCTCATTAATTTATGAATAATTAATTGTCGTGCTGGACAGCATTCATTGCGAACTTACCACCAGGTTCAGCATTGGTCTGGTTGTACCAAAGATGCCGAAGAATGAGGTTGGAAGAAAACAGAAACAGGCGTTACTCCAGTCACAATGTTGAAAGATCCAGCTCCAAAATCCCTATTGGTATTTTTATCCTGTAAATGTAAAACTAACAACTATGGTAAAGCCTGCGGATGCAGAAAAGCAGGATTAAAATGTCTAATGATTTTTGCATACTGCAATGGGAAATCCTGTGACAACGTCACTGAAGTGTCACTCGATGAATCCGATAAAGAGGAGTTGGACTTGCCTGTAGATATCCCTCTGGCGGCTGAAGATGAAAAGTTGGACGAATTGAGAGACCAGCCTGATGAGCCTAGCACAGCAGACACGATCGACTTTGACATCAATGAGCCAGATCCGTCGGGCTTGTGCAGATTTAGTTTGTGCAGATTTAGTTTTTAATTTATCTAGTGGAGTAGGCCTATTAGGAGTAGACGTTAAAATAAACGCGCCATATACTTTACCTCTTGGATGGTATGGAAACAAGTACACATTTTCAATAATTAAAATTAATTATTCATAAATTAATGAGCGAATTAATGATACGCCACTGTTTTATGACAAAATTGAAGAAACTAAACTAAAACTAGTTTTAGTGAAAAAAAAAAATTGGTTAAAATCGGTTCAGCGGTTTTTGAGTTATCATGTTACAGACGGCAGACAGACAGACAGACAGACAGACAAGCAGATTTTACCGCTAATATCTAGATTTGCAATGTCTTTGATAAACACTGGAAACAAAATAGGGCCAAGTACTGAACCCTGAGGGACACCACATTCTATAGGCTTACAAGAAGACATAGACATATCAATCCTCTCAAGCTGCCTTCTGTTGCCAAGATATGACTTAAGCCATTCGATCGGCACTCCCCTGAATCCATAGTATTGCAATTTGTTAATTAGGATATTATGATTTACACAGTCGAAAGCCTTAGAGAAATCACA